ATTTCATATAAATTATTGATCCGGTTATTGAATGCTTGTTTATCTAAAACACTTACCGCTTATTTAAAAAAAGAGGTGTAAGACCAAAAAAATGAATCATACCGTCTTTTACATAGATGTCTGTTTCCGTTCGATTCCGTTAAATACCAATTCCTCAGGTACTTTGCGGAACGGAACGGACAGGATTAACAAATTTAAAAAGTTAAAATCAGAATCAATGTTTCTAATCATCGTCAGAAAGGACGACGGGAGGTCTGTCTTCTTATATATATCATAATGAATGAAAGGAGTTCTTTTCTCGGCTTTTTCTCTGACCTGCCAATATCAAATTCATGATAATTTATCAGGACATGAATGTACATCTACAGGATATTTCACGATGTTAAACAATATTACACATTTGACATGTGAAGATGAGATTTAGTATACAATTGTGTTATTGTATATTGAAAACCTTAAACAGAGAAATTTAAAGTTTGTTTTGTTTTAAAGATTTTTTTGAAATTTTGATAGATGCCCCATATCGATACATTTAATGAAATTCTGTTCCGTTCCGTTCCGTTCCGTAAAGTACCAATAGCCCTTGGATAGTTAAAATCAATTCAATATAAGATGATTCATTTTGTAAGTTCCAATTCAATGTTAGTGTGCTGGTCACTACACGAAAAAATAAACAAAGTTTGAAATATATTACAGTAACTTTAATTAAGTTTTCGTTTCGGTGCATCTTTGCATGCACATGCAGTGTCAGGCTTAGGGTTGGGGGGAAACATCCTTTCTGAAACCGGACTGGTTATTATCATGGCTAGATATTTACAAACTAATCTTTTTGGTGTTTTTATTCATATTTATGTAATTAGATAAACGTATGGAACGCTTGGATGACATTTTTAACAATGTCTATATTTGGGGCGTATTACAGTCATAGACTCAGACAAACCAATTTTATTTAGCAGGTACTCATACATTACACATAACATAAGCTCTGTATGGCTTTAAACACACATGTTAGCCTCCGGCCGTCGGGATGATCTTACATTGACACACCGCGTCCTCATGAGATAACTATATCTTGCATCCCAGCTTCTTTGTTCTACCTGATCACCCCTGCCAGATCACCCCAGCTTGAGTTTCTTTGTCCTACCTGATCACCCTAGCTTGAGTTTCTTTGTTCTACCTGATCACCCCTACCAGATCACACTAGCTTGAGTTTCTTTGTTCTACCAGATCACCCTAGCTTGAGTTTCTTTGTTTTGCATGCTTTTCTTTGTTTGGTAACATTTTGGCGGGAATGTCAAGTCTACAATAAAACTTAGAATTATTTAATATACGGAAAAGACTAACTATCAAAACTTATGTAGAAAAAAATCCAATGTCTATGCTGGGATTCGAACTCAAGACCTTTAGCATATAGACCCACGATCCATGCCCCTACACCAGGACGACTGGATATAAACTCACTGTTAATTTAACATATTTAAACATTGTGTCCGGTGCTCATAAAGGGTATATAGAACAGGTGGGATGTAAAAAAAGTTATCCCATTCGGACTTGGTGTGTCAGCGTAAAATCATCCTCTGGACTCCGGCCATCGGGATGATTTTACACTGACACACCGCGTCCTCATGGGATAACTATTACTTTCATAAGAAAATAATGTTCGAGAATACTTGGATCATAGCCACTTAATTATATATTAGATTAAATAAATAAGATTTCAGAAATTAGTTCACGAGATTTAATCAAACGGTACAAAACTAAAAGATAATTAGTTGGACTTGGCATTCATATTTCCAAAACTAGAGGCTCCTGCACTCATCAGTTATCTCGTAAAGAAGGGAAAGCGAGTATTTTATGTTCCTAATATGCATTAAAAAAATGTTGGCACATATCGTATGATATAAAGTCTGCTATCATTGCGAAGGGTCAATAACAGTCCACAAATGGGGCTTTATAAAAAAAACATACAGACTATAATGATAGCCTATAAGACAACTATCCATAAAACGGTTAAAATGAAGTGGATGTAGGCAATTATAAGCCATCGTACGGTTCTTTAGAACCTTAAGTTTATATATGTCAGGCCCTTTTATAGCCAACTATACGGTATTGGTTTTTCTCATTGTTGAAGGCCGTACGATGACATGTAATTAATTGCTTATATCCACTTATTTAAACGCATGTGGATAGTTGTCTCATGGACAATCATAGCACACTGACCGTTACTTATATTTATACTGTTTATGTCTGAGCTATTACTTACGTTGATTGTTCGTAAAAATAAAACTATATTTAATAAAGTGCAACTACACAGCTATATAGTTTAGTAAAATTATTGTTCATGCATCGTTTGTAAATAATTTAACGGATTATTTGTAAATGATAACGTATTTGCATGCAGGATTCTTTTAATGCATCTTATAAAAACACAAAATAAGAAACAAAATATTGTCCATGTGTGACATGTGTAATAATAAAAACTGACACTAGTAGTTATGGTAACATTAAGTAGCAAATACGAGTAAATATGGAACAGGGACCCAATTATTTCCCCCATTACTTCAATGCAATTTTATCCAAATTGAGGGGCAGATTTTTTTAATCCCTATATTAGACTGCAAAATTTCAATTTCTTTCTCATACAAGTAGCCCCCTTCATGGTTTCTGGGAGAATTATTGAAAGGTCATGACCGGCATTTAAGAGAGCAATACTTTTTTGAGTATTAACAGGGTCATTTTGTTAAAATCGAAAATTAAATTTGGACCATTTACTCAGACAATCATCCACCCTATACATTTCAGAATCAGAATTAAAATTTAATAGAAGTTGAAAGTTTAATGAATACCCTTTAAACATAAAACAAATTTGAACATCTTTACATAATTTTCATTTCGGGACATTTAAAAGATGGTAAATTTATTAAGTGACTTCATTCGTGGGTACTCAGTCTGGACTGGTATCCTGTAACTGGGATCCTATTCCATATATATATATAAAGATATAAAAAAAAAATGTTAACATAAAAAAAACAAATATCGGATCATCCGAGTTCTAATTTGTATGGCTGCACAACTCTTTAATCTTCAAAAATAATAATAATCATAACAATGATAGTAACAATACAATAGCTGGTCTTTTAGTTTTTTATTTGAACTTTTTTTTGTTTTTTTTGTTATTTAGTAACATTATTTCAATTTATACATAATTGTAGGTATTTTAGTTATTCGTGAAAGTAACCATGGTAACTGCATGGTCAAACTTGTTCACAATTCAATGCACATACTACATGTATACGCAGACTTTCAAATTTTTTTTCCTGTGAAAAACCATTATAAAGAAGATAATGTTCATAAGATGTAAATATATATACTATGATCCACAGGGGCGGATCCAGCCATTTTTAAAAGGGGATTCCAACCCAGGATAAAGGGGGAGGGGGGTTACAACCATATGTCCTCATTCAAAATCATTGATCGAACCCACGCCCCCCCCCCCCCTGGGATCCGCCACAGTGACTGATCCATTGGGCACATGTTGGAACGTAGGAAAATAAATATGATCAGAACACATGTGTCAATATGCCTATAGCTGAACACATTGTTTCAATTGATGATGTGTATTGCTGAAGAATACATAGAATTTAATAAACAGCTGCGCCATGAGCGTATGATACGCCCGTCGTCTTGTGTGTGAATTTTTATGCAATAATCATAAATAGTTTCTGACATACGGCCTGACATGCGAAAACCCCCTTTTTTCACAGAAAACTCAATATCTCTAAAATAAAATTTTTGAATCAAAACCAAAAATTATACAGATCTTTAGATTAATATAACTAAGAAGTGTGTAAAATTTTAATCAATAATCATAAATAGTTTTTGAGATACGGCGCGACATGTAAAAACCCCCCCTTTTTTTTTAGAAAAAAATCAATATCTCAAAAATAAAAAATTGAATCAAAACCAAAAAGTATACAGATCTTTAGATTAATATAACTAAGAAGTGTGTAAAATTTTAAGCAATAATCATAAATCGTTTTTGAGATACGGAACGACATGTGAAAAACCCCTCCCCCCTTTTTTTTACAAAATACCCAATAACTCAAAAATGAAATTTTGAATCATCACCAAAAAGTATACAGATCTTAAGATTAATATAACTAAGAAGTGTGTAAAGTTTTAAGCAATAATCATAAACTGTTTTTGAGATACAGCGCGACATGTGAAAAACCCCTCCCCCTTTTTTTAACAAAATACTCAATATCTCTAAATTAAAATTTTGAATCATCACCAAAAAATATACAGATCTTGAGATTAATATAACTAAGAAGTGTGTAAAGTTTTAACCAATAATCATAAATTGTTTTTGAGATACGGCGCGACATGTGAAAAAAAAAAACACACACCTGTTTTAGTTACTAAGTCCCGTAACTCAAAAAGTATTAATCTTATTTTCACCAAAAAGTATACAGATCGTTTGACCATCATAAGAAACAACTATGTTAGGTTTCATGAAATTTGGATAAGTCGTTCTCAAGTTACGGTGCGACATGTTTACGCCGGACAGACAGACGGACAGGCGGAAAGACGGACAGACAGACAGACGGACAGACGGATAGACGAACAGACGGACAGACGACAAAATGGAGGAAGACTCCCGAGCCATCTTAAGGAGTTATTGCCCTTTTAAGACAATTTTACACAGTCATCAAAGTTTTTTAAAAAGAGTTATGCCCCTTGGAAATATCAAATATGTGCAACATGGGGGACATTGAAACACTGTTCTTTTGTTAAAATTTTGACGGGCGTATAAAAATCCAACAGCTATCATGGCCAATAAAGAAGAATCCAGCCATTTTTAAAAGGGGTTCCAACCCAGGATAACAGGGGGGGGGTTCCAACCATATGTCCAAATTCAAAAGATTTGATCGTAAAAAAAGGGGTTCCAACCCCTGTTACCTCCCCCCCCCCCCCCCCCCCCCCCCCCCCCCTTCCCCCGATTAGCCATTGATCCATTGGGCACATGGCATTTTAAAGAATCCAAATGCTACTCATGGCCACGAAAGAACCACTTATATCACATTCGTAAAACATGCAAAAGGTTATCACAAGTACGAATTATCTTCTGTTTCTGAAAGTCATTTCTACTTAATTAACTACACATAGCAAACTATACAGTAGTTTATTGTCAGTGCGCATGTCAGCAGAGTCGAATTCTGATCCTATTCTACATGCATCACATGTATATGGTTTAATTATCATAAGTGTTTTTTTTTTTAATGTGTGTCTTTAAATTTGTATTCTGTCTAAAACATTTATAACATGTATAATATTAATCACATTTAAAAGGTTTATCACCAGTATGTAATCTCATGTGTGTTTGTAAGTGACCTTTTTGACTAAATCCTTTACCACATACATCACATTTATACGGTTTATCACCAGTATGTATTCTCATGTGTTTCTGTAAGTCGCAATTCTGAATGAAACCTTTACCACATATATCACAGTTGAAAGGTCTTTCACCAGTGTGTGTTGTTGTGTGTCTCTTCAGGCACGAACTGGTAGTAAACCTTCTCCCACATACATCACATTTATACGGTTTATCACCAGTATGTGTTCTCATGTGAGTTGTTAAATGCTGTTTCTTACTATACCTTTTCTCACATAAATCACATTTATACAGTTTATCGTCGTGACCAGAATGTATTCTCATATGTCTAATTATATCGCAATTTTTTCTAAACCCATTATTACATACATCACATTTGAAAGGTCTTTCACCAGTGTGTGTTGCTGTGTGGTTCTTCAGGTACCATTTGGTAGTAAACCCTTTACCACATACATCACAATTATACGGTTTTTCGCCAGTATGTATTCTCATGTGTTTTTGTAAGTCACAATTCCGAATAAACCCATTACCACATATTTCACATTTGAAAGGTCTTTCACCAGTGTGTGTTTTTGTGTGTCTCTTCAAGCAGCATTTGTTAGTAAACCCTTTACCACATACATCACATTTATAAGATTTATCACCTGTATGTGTTCTCATGTGCCTCTGTATACTACTAAGCTGGCTACAACTTTTTCCACATACATCACATACATATGGTTTTTCACCAGTATGTGTTCTCATATGATTTTGCTTGTAATTACTACAAGCAAATCTTCTACCACATACATCACATTTATAAGGGTTATCTCCAGTATGTGTTCTCATGTGGGTCTGTAGATACCTATATTGACTAAACCCTTTTTCACATACATCACACGTAAAAACATTAGGTTTATCTTCAGAGTGACTTTTCAAGTGTGTCTTTAAGTCATCATCCTTACGAAAACCTATACCGCATTTATCACATATATAACACCTAGCGTGTGTCTTTAAATGCATCTGTAGCACACTATATGCACGAAACTCTTTATTACACTTTTTACATTTGAAAGCTTGTTCTTCGGTATGAGTTATTTTATGTTCCTCTAGATCTGCATTGCTATTACACTCCTTACCACACACTTTACATATATAACTAATTCCTATGCCATGACATCTAACTAAGCGATCCTCCATTAATGGACCGGAAGTCCGATCAAGGGAGACAATCACAGAAGTAGCTGATGTTCCGTTGCAAGATATTTCATTTGTTTCTGTGCAGACGTCTTCACTTTTCATTTTTGTAAGTTTCTTGGAGTCTGACAAAAAGAAAATAATCATGAGAACAATTTCAACAACTGAAAAATAAGCTTATTCAAAGATGAATTATTACAAATTGCATTTTATGTCCAATTAAAAGATCTATCTTTTTGACTATGGTATCTTTTTTCTAAATTTTTTTTTTGCCGCTTCCCAGAAAACGGGAAAATACCCCCAAAACACGAAGAAATCATGTGAAGTCCCATTGTACAAATCTAATAAAAACAATGGTTCCAATAACTACAGATCAGTCTCTTTGTTATCTTGCAAAATAATCTTGATGCAACTCTAAATGAAAGACTTACTAAAATTGTGGATGACCAATTAGGTCAAAGACTTGCTAAAATTAGTAATTTTATAGGATTGTAAACGCGTTGACCGTGCGCTTCATACAAAATGTACTTCGGTCAACGCTTTTACACCCAATTAAATTTACTTTAAGAAGCATTCAATTCTTAATTTATATTGCCCATATATAATGCATTACGTTCGGTCTATTCGTTATCTATTTTGCCCATTATTCTATATTCTATAATTGTTTACTATTTGTGCCTATATTTATCTACAATTATGTCTATTCATTGTTTGTCCTTTATCATGTTTGTTCTGCACATTTTGCTCATTATTTTCAATTCCTTAAACTTAATCCATCCTCTCATTCGAATAATTGTGTGGTCCCTATCTAGTGTAAAACGAGAGAAAAAAACAAAACAACAGGACGAACGAAACTAAAGGAAAAGTAATAAAACGAAATATGACGAAACAAAACGAAAAATGAAGCACAAAACGAAAGGATTTTTACAATATAAAACAAGAGGCTCGGTTGCTTGATCTACAGCAGGGAACTAAAGGGGAAATAAATTTCTTTGAATAGTGAAATTAATTTTGTTAGGCCTGATTGTGACACATGTTGATTATATAAATAAATCTGGTACGGATACAGGATTCTGAAAAGGGCCCCCAGGTAAATCAACCTTTATGTGATATTTTCCTAAAAAGTCAATGTATTGATCATATATGTTCACAGCTCCATAAGGGAGCCCGGGCCCCTTGTCCCTCGCCCTAAATCCGCCTCTATCAAAATGTACTACTATCTAAAAAAATGTACCATGCATAAATTATATACTTATCGACTTTTTGTTTACTGCTCTTACTGTTGTCATCGATAGTATATATATGTATGTATATTTGACTTATAGATGAATCTACGACACGTCTTTCTGATAACTGCTCGAATTGTTGTCATCGATAGTAATTAGTATATACGTGTATATTTGACTTATAGATAAATCTTCGACACGATATAGAGTATAATAGCAAATAAAAGGGTAGGGGCACTGACCACTCGCTTTTTGTATTAAGGGATCATATATAGTTCAGTATTTCACTGTTATTTGAACTTTTATGACTAATCGTACGTTATATATAATTTTATGTTCCGGACCATATGAGTATTTTGACCATACGCGTATGGTCATGACCATATTGGTATATACTCATATGGTCCGACCATATGCATATGGTCCGACCGTACGCGTATGGTCGGGGTAATTAACATGTTTACTTAAATACTTTTAAACTCTTCATAAGGAATAGCCCATCTGGTTGTCACTTCATTAAAAATGTCATTTTATTATATTTCAATAATAAAAAAGATTAACTAAATAAAAATAAGCAGTTTCACACAGTTAATTTTACTCACTATTTGTAAGTACAATAAGAAGATGACAAAACCAAATGCACATATTGTAAAAGGAAATTTTGTTACTTTACGTATACCGGTGATTGACATGGCGTCTGGTGATTTACCACGTTTATTTTGTAAAGTAGATGACATCACCGGCAAGGACCATAGCTATTTAAGTTGTCTTGTGAATATGGTTTACTGCAGTCATGTTACGAAATTGGAGAAATAGAGATTCTTAAAAACACCGTATAGACACATCGGAATGGCCTAAGACCTCGGTATCACTGTACACAGCTGTAAAGAATGCTAGCTTTTCCCTCGCAAGCAAAAGGTGTAACTGAGACGTGCAAATGCAGAAAAGCTATTGTTCCGTGTGGAAGTTAATGTCACCCTAAGCATACATGCAAGAATACAATTACCGACGAAAACTTAAGATCAACTGACTGTGGCATCTATATTTAATGTTTCTGTAGCCTTTGAATTATAAAATAATACATTTCTATGTAACCATCATTGTTTTTTTTTTATGATAAAGTTTATTGTATTATGAAACGTTTCTAATGCATATTTGAAAAAATACCTATATGGTCCAAATATTCATATGGTCCGGCTCGTGAATAACTAAACGAGTATTATAAGTTACATAGTGTGCTAGTGACCTAATACGGTATATATGGGGTGAGAGCGAAGCTCGAATCCCCATATGGTATTTACTGACCCCATATATACCGTATTACGTCACTAGCACACTATGTAACGAATTTATCTTACCAACTATCTTAACATGTGGTATTTAGACTAGTGACCTATCAAAGTGAGCATAGTCTTCAATACCGTTAGCATTAAGAAACTACTTCCATTGGTCATACAAAAAAACAAATGCCAACAATAACAACTTGTTAGCTTTAAATGTGTTTTATGAATTTATTTCAATCTTTCATCATCAATTTGTTCGTCTGTTGAAACCTTTAAGATTTTTTCTCAGTTCCGTTTTGTTTTTATAAAGGGACGTAACACCACTACTAACCGTGTATTGAAATAAGCCCCGCCTACTAACCTAATATGGAATATACATGGTCTCCGAGCGGTTGCTTTTAACCAATCATATTCCTAGAAATGTATAGGAGGTAAGATAAATACTCATATGGTCCGACCATACCCCTACGGTCTTACCATACGCGTATGGTCGGATCATATGAGTATACGCATATAGTCATGACCATACGCGTATGGTCCAAATATTCATATGGTCCGGAACATATACATGCAACTCTGATCAAAACTGTGAATAAATGAGCTAGTAACACAACACGATACAATAGAAACGAAAGGCCTTATTTATACTGAACTGAACAATAAATCTGAGACTAATATTGTTATAGTAGTCTCAGTATAAATGGAAAAAATAAATAACTATGACAAAAAGGAAATTAAACGTTGGGACGAAAGTGTAAGAAACAAATGAACACAATACATGACAATAATGAAATGGGTGTAAACCGTCGACTCGAATTTTCTTTGGACATTTGCCATGTTTGCCAACAAATTCGAATTTTTGCTGTAACTTATTTACCAATTATAAAAATAATCCACGATGCTCTTAATGAATAGTCTGAAACAATAAGCTTTTAACTTTAAAAAAAACAATTGTTATTTTATATAAATATCTTTAATGCAGCTTTAATTAGGTTTATAAGTCATTTGTAAGTTGTGTTTATTTTACAATAGATGCAAAATTTCAGGATTCTTAACTTCATGTGATGATCGATTTGTGAAAGAAAATTAAACCAATGAAAATCTTTAAGTGAATATAAATATAAATAAGAATAAAACAAGAACGTGTCCATAGTACACGGATGCCCCATCCGCACTATCATTTTCTATATTCAGTAGACCGTGAAAATGGGGGAAAAATTCCAATTTGGCATTAAAATTAGAAAGATCATATCATAGTGAACATGTATACTAAGTTTCAAGTTGATTAGACTTAATTTAACTTCATCAAAAACTACCTCGACCAAAAACTTTAACCTGAAGCGGGACAGACGGACGAACGAACGGACGGACGAATGAACGAACGGACGAACGAACGAACGAACGGACGAACGAACGAACGAACGGACGAACGGACGCACAGACCAGAAAACATAATGCCCATTAATTGGGCATAAAAATAATTTCAAAAATCAACAATCATCAGTATTCTCGTGTTTTTTGCAAATAATTCTTACTGAAAAAAACCCGGTATTTTTGCTGTATATTTATTCAATTTCAAACAAAATAATGATTTTATTGAAATAGTACAAATCAAATGCAGGCACTTAATAATTGCATAGTTGTTTCTGCTTGTGGTACAGATGTAAAATCTTCCAACTACGGATTCAGAGAGGGTTCGTCAGTGTTCGTAAAGGCCTCGCTTTGATAGGAAAATATATCTTTTTGGCAAGAAATTGTCCACATTTTTTTTATAACATATAATTTACTTTCGAGTGAAATCCACCTCTGCAAAGAATTAACTGTTACCTGATTTATTTCTCAGACGTTCCATAGGTATTAATTTGTGGTTATCGGCCTTTGATATCATTAGTTGCAAAAGTTCTGGACTCGTTCGAAAAATTGCTTATTTTGAGGGTTGATTAATCTCTACATCAAGTAACTCGTAAGTCAATAATGTTATCTTAAAGGTATTATTTAAATCGATGTCAATATTGACATCTAGGATAAGATTATAGTAATAATCATGATAATACTAAATAAATATGCGTGTTACCTTGGATGTATCGTGTCTATTTATATATATGTATGGAACGCAAGGGCGGCAAAATAAAAGTAAACATAAAATACATGCAATACTGGGTCCATCCTGACCTATCCGGTCAATCAGTTCTTAATCATTGAATATATATATGCAAGTATTTCAGTCAATTTTAGCAGTTATTATGTTTTTCATGTTCCCTTTTTTACTTGACCATATTAACAAGAGTCACAAGTGGAAGTTTGACCATTTGTAGATCGTCTGGAATTAAACGACAGAAAGCTCCAGTACTTGACATAAAATAACTTGCCATCATGTGTAGTTGCCAATGTTGACACTATATAATAGTATACCGTCATTTGGAGCAGACGATCAAACAAATACAATGCTATTTTTTTTTTCATCCGTAGTAAAAATTAAATTTGCTTTAAAAAAAGGTTGTTTTTGTTGAGAAAATAAAAACAATTAACTTGTTTAGTAAAACCACTTTTACGTGTATGAAACGTTGTGATAGTGTTTGGTTGTATGAATGAAGTCGCGTGAATTGTCATTGAAAAATTGAAGCGGGTGGATACGAACACGTGACAATATGACGTACATTGCTGCAGTGTTTAGTGACATCACAATCTAATTAAAATATAGATCTCTGATTTCGTTATACACTCATATATACACTGTGTCTAAACTACCCCGGCAAAAAATGTTTGGACTCGATAGTATCTAATGTCCGGTACGGTGACGGACAATCAACAGACAGAGAAAAGGTAGAATTTCTGTTTATTTGTTTTTTAATGACATTGAAGAATAAACATACACATATAAATATTTTCGATTGTGTGATGTAATATTTTCTACAACCGTTCTAGATTAATGGAGAAATAAGTAAAAAAGCACACGAAAATGGTGAATTGAGTGAACCTTGCTACGAATTTGTTTAATTTCTCTTTAAATTGTGCACATTGTACGGAAAGAAAAGTACGGAAAGAAAGATATTAACACAGAGATTGCATGGCTAGTCACTATGAGCACCTCAATATTTGCATTTTTTGTGCATGGAACGAAATAAATGGGTCATGTCAAAATGGAAGGACCCTGTTTCGTCAATGTTGTTTATTACACAAGGACCCTGTTTTGTCTCAGTATAGGACCCGGTTTTGTTTTGTTTTGAAACCACAAATTTATGAAAAGCTACGTTAGCACGGATCTGGACATTGCCCATCGGAAGAAATTAAATATTTGAGTCAAAAAGATGTTATAAAGATGTTATTGCAATACAAACATGTGTTAAAATATATTTCAAACGGGAACTTTTCGAAATGGGGAGTAGACATTTTTTAATGCTATACGTATACCTTATTGATCTTATCTTCGAACTAAGTTTAAATGGAAATAAATACTTTATATCATGTACTTACATTAATTCCTTATGATAGAAAAAAGAAGATGTGGTGTGATTGCCAATGAGACAGCTCGTCACAAGAGATCAAATGACACAGAAATTAACAACTATAGGTCGCCGTATGGCCTTCAACAATGAACAAAGCTCATACAACATAGTCAGCAATAAAGGCACCCAAATGACAAGTGTAAAACAATTCAAACGAGGAAACTAACGGCCTAATTTATGTACAAAAAAATGAACGAAAAACAAATATGTAACACAGCAACAAACGACAACCACTGAAATACAGGCTCCTGGCTTGGGACAGGTAAATATATACAGAATGGGGCGGGGTTAAACATCTTAGCGGGATCCCAACCCTCCCCCTAACCTAGGAAATTGGTGTAACAGTACAACATAAGAATTACGAACTATAAAAATCAGTTGAAAAAGGCTTAAGTCATCAGATGGATACAAACAGAAATACATCTCAAAAATGTTTGTTTGTTTTCTATACTACTGTAATGATGTAAAAATAAGAAGATGTGGAATAATTGTGTTACCATATCAATTTATCAGAAGAGTAAGGATAGTATGCTTTACTACACTATACGCTATGTTTACAATATATTTACTCATTCGTTCATCCATTGACGGACAGTGAGAGAAAAAGCTCCTTTTTGAAGGCCGTACTTTGACCTATAATGGTTTACTTTTACAAATTGTGACTTGGATGGAGCGTTGTCTCATTGGCACTCATACCACATCTTCTTATATCTATTAGAACGTTTTGGATATCTCAATCAAAATGGTTGCCTTTCGAACGTGCATTTTATGTCCGCTTCGAAATACACAAGTTCTAAACTTCCCCATTAGAAACAAAATAATTCTATCATGCCATGCTCTACGCTCATTTTAACATAGGTATGCATTATATTTGTCAATATTTTATACCTGGCTAACGCTTGGTTTAAAAATTTTAACAAATATAATGCCTTCCTATGTTAAAATGAGAATTGAGCATGGCATGAAAGTATTATTTCTTTTTATAAATAAAAGTTGGTTTGCAACATTATAACGTCCAATATCTTCGTCTTCGTCTTCGTAGAACAACCTAATAGGCAATTTAGCCCGTGAAAAATGACAATGAGACAACTTTCCATCAGAGGTAAAATGACGTATAAGTTAACAAATATAGAACACCGTATGGCATCCAACAATGAGAAACGTCCATACGGCATAGCAAGCTAAAAAAGGCCCCGAAATGAAAACTGTAAAAAAAAAAACTAATGTGGAAACTAATGACCTAGATTTATGTACAAAATAAAAAACGAAAAACAAATACATGTATGATATATAGCAACAAAAGACAACAACCGATTTACAGGCTCCTGAATTCGGTACTGGTACATACAGAATGGCGAGGTTGAACGTGTAAGACCCCCCCCCCCCCTTACGATCCCCCTCAAAAAAAAAAGTGGTATAACAGCACAACATATGAACAAATTTTATAATTCAGTGAGTTGAAAAAGGCTTAACTCATTTGATTATAGATCCCCTATAGTAAATATGGGATTGGCGGCTGTCTCTGTTTTTTCGTCTTTTATTAAATTTTATGATGGTATACGATATAGTTACATTATATCAGTGGCGGATCCAGGGGAGTAGAGGGAGTGCGCCGACCCCCCCCCCCCCCTTTTTTTTTTGGTGGCTAGAAATAATTATTTTATGTTTTTTACGATTTATATAGGATTTTTTATTTAGCATAAAATCGTTAAAAAAAGTTCCCCTTGCTATGCTCGGCGGTATAAAATCCGTTTCTGAATACGTCCCTTTCAAAAATCATGGCCTAGGTCCGCCCTTGCATATTGACAATTTTAAACTTGACCAAATTGCTTAAATTGTAGAACATTTGTCAATGTACGATAATCATTATACAATGAAGAGATAAACCTAATATATATAATAGTTGTACTATATAGGGCAGTTGTTAACAACTTCATACTACTGCATTAAAGAATTTGTTAATGTTAAAAAAAAAGAAAAAAAAAGAAAAAAAAAGAGAGATAAAACATCGTTTATTTATATAAATTACTAATCAAATAATCATTATTGAAATTTCCGGATGGCCAAAGACTTTTATACTAATTTCTACTTAGTATTATTATAACAATGAGGGGTAAACAGATTTTTGACGCACTATTATTGTGATCCTTTGCGCCGCATGGAAATTCCTTTTTTTGGGGCGATTCTGCATGCACATACATTTGTCTTATTCTCTTGCTTTATAATGAACGTTTAGTTTCAGAATATTTATTTTCAAACGATTATACTGTCTTCCCTTTATGTAGAGCGGAACACTAAGATAACCATCTTATTGTCCCAAAAAATCTCATATCAAATGTGCGTCCTTAAATTTTCAAGGCCGTACACTAATTAAGTTTGAACACTTTAATTTACATAGATGATATAAAAAAATCTAATTCTGTTTCAAAATCTCATTTCTTTTTAATTTTTCCTTTTTTTTTATATACAAAACAAAATTGAAATTTGCTTTGTTCTAATATAGCAGGAATTCAAGTGTTTGCGGATTCAAAAAGGTTATAAGTTATCCTCTGAAAGAAAATGTTTTTCAACGATCCCTCAAACTGCTGTTGAACGCCATATTTTAATTTTCGTCATGCGATTATGCATTATTTTCTATGACAAAACCGGGTCTGCTTTGTGAAATTTAAGGACAAAACCGGGTCGTACACATTGACAAAACCGGGTGCTTCAATTTTGACATGACCCACTTCTTTCATTCCATGCACAGACATGCAAATATTGAGGTGATCATAGTGAAAAGTCTTGAAATCTCCGTGTTAATATCTTTCTTTCCGTACCTTTCTTTCCGTACAATGTGCTCAATTTAAAGAGAAATTAAACAAATTCGAGGCAGGGTTCACTCAATTCACCATTTTGATGTGCTTTTTTACTTATTTCTCCATAAATCTAGAACGGTGGTAGAAAATATTACATCACACTATCGAAGATAGTTATATGTGTATGTATATTCATCAATATCATAAAAACAACAAATAAATTAACAGAATTTCTACATTTCTCTGTCTATTTATTGCCCGTCACCGTACCGGACATTAGATACTATTGAGTCCAAACAGTTTTCGCCGGGGTAGTTTAATTACAGTGATATATGTAGTATAACGAAATCAGAGATCTATATTTTAATTAGATTGGTGACATCATTGACTAATATTTTCAAGTATCAGTTCCTGTCCATGATATAGATGAAACATATTACATGTATTAGGCAGTACGATTAAAGTAAAAATGTACAAATTGCCGATAAAACAGATTAACGATATCGGCAACACCAGTCTTTTCTATTATTTAATATGTGTGCATATATTTGTAAACACGTGATTCCTGTTTATTTGTTTAGTTGTCTGCAATTAAAATGATATTTTTTCATATTTTCAGATATCTACATGTATGTGATACATGACCAGACTGTAAGACACGTCAATTTGAAAAAAAAATGCAAAATACAGACCTTCTAATGCAGGCAACAATTAAATGCCTGTCTCGACGAAGACCATGTTATGCAGGCCAACAATCAAATGTCAGTCTTGAAGCAAACCAGCTGACATGTCTAACAACAATTAGATGACAGTAGAACTTAGAACTCAATTATAAGATAATAAATCTAAGTAATGTCCCATATGTGTCATCAGGTTTTGTCAATTTCCAGTGGACCCTAAGGAGACGAATGAGAAACATGTCATACTGATAAAATAAACCGTTAAATGAGACTTCGGCTGACAGCAATGCTTTGGTATTCATAGCTTTATCTTAAAAACTCACAGGAGAAAACATAATATCGGTTAGAACCTGTTAAAGTTATATGTGATTCACTCTTCAGAATGGATTCGGGTGAAAAAACATACATATGTGATGTATGTGGTAAAAGGTTTAGTGACTTCAGATCGCATACGATACACACAAGAACTCATACTGCTGACAAACCTTACATATGTGATGTATGTGTTAAGGGATTTAGTGACAAAAGAGGCTTCCTTAAACACATGAGTATTCATAATGTTGATAAACAGGATAAACCTTACAAATGTGGTATGTGTGATAAAAGTTTTAGGTTCTCTGGAACCTTAACGAAACACACACGAACTCATACTGGTAAAAAGCGTTACACATGTGATGTATGTGGTCAAGGGTTTACTAACTCCAGAAACTGTACGAAACATAAAAGAAATCATACTGATGAAAAACGTTGCACAACATGTGATTTATGTGGTCAAGGGTTTAGTCACAAAAGTAACTTTCTCAGACACATGAGAATTCACACAGGTGATACGCGTGAAAAACCCTACACATGTGATTTATGTGGTAAAGGGTTTGGTTACTATAAATCATATAAGAAACATACAAGAACTCATACTGGTGGAAAGCCTTACACATGTGATGTATGTGGTAAAGGGTTTAATGACTGCAGTTCCTTAACGGCACACACAAGAATGCATACCGGTGAAAAACCTTACACATGTGATGTCTGTGGTAAAAAGTTCGGCAGAAAAAGTGACTGCAATAAACACTTGAGAATTCATACTGGTTATAAATATCATAAACGTTACACGTGTGATGTATGTGGTAAAGAGTTTGACAACAACAGTTATTTTCACAAACAAATGAGAACTCATACTGGTGACGAATTTTACAAATGTGACGTATGTGGTAAAGGGTTTAGTGACATCAGTTCCTATAATAGACACATGAAAACTCATACTGGTGAAAACCCATATAACAGACAAGCATGTGATAAAGGATTAAACTACAAAGGTAACTTTGATAGACACACGAACATTCATACTTGTAATACACTTTACAAATGCGATGTGTGTATTAAAGAGTTTGGCAACAACAGTTCTTGTCTGAGACACATGAGAACTCATACTGGAGATAAACTTTACAAATGCGATGTGTGTGATAAAGAGTTTGGCAACACCAGTTCTTGTCTTGAACACATGAGAACTCATACTGGAGAGCAATACAAACCTTACATTTGTGATGTATGTGGTAAAGGGTTTAAGTCAAATCAGGAATTAATCACACACATTAGATTACATACAGGTGAAAAACCTTACACATGCGCTGTATGTGGTAAAGGTTTTAGGAGCAACAGATCCCTTCATATACACATGAGAACTCATATTGATGAAAAACCTTACACATGTGATGTCTGTGGTAAAGGGTTTAGGGACAAGAGCAGCGTCCATAGACACATGAGAACTCAAAGCTGTACTCGTAATACTGTAACACATGATGGACTTTACAAATGTAATGTTTGTGGGAAAAAGTTTAGCCTCAATAGTACCTGTCTTTTACACATGAAACTGACTCATGCTGGTGAATATCTTACCAATGCTATGTATGTGGTAAACAGTTAATTGACACAAGACACTATGATAGACACATGAGAACTCATACTGGTGAAAACCTCGCACATGTGATGTATGTGGTTAACAGTTTAGTGACACCAGACACTATGATAGACACATGCGAACTTATACTAGTGAAAACCTCGCACATGTGATGTATGTGGTTAACAGTTTAGTGACACCAGACACTATGATAGACACATGAGAACTTATACTAGTGAAAACCTCGCACATGTGATGTATGTGGTTAACAGTTTAGTGACACCAGACACTATGATAGACACATGAGAACTTATACTAGTGAAAACCTCGTACATGTGTTGTATGTGGTGAATAGTTTGGTGACACCAGACACTATAATAGACACATGAGAACTTATACTAGTGAAAACCTCGCACATGTGTTGTATGTGGTAAACAGTTTAGTGACACCAGACACTATGATAGACACATGAGAACTTATACTAGTGAAAGCCTCGCACATGTGTTGTATGTGGTGAATAGTTTAGTGACACCAGACACTATGATAGACACATGAGAACTTATACTAGTGAAAACCTCGCACATGTGTTGTATGTGGTAAACAGTTTAGTGAAACCAGACACAATGATAGACACATGAGAACTTATACTAGTGAAAACCTCGTACATGTGTTGTATGTGGTGAATAGTTTGGTGACACCAGACACTATGATAGACACATGAGAACTTATACTAGTGAAAACCTTGCACATGTGTTGTATGTGGTGAATAGTTTGGTGACATGTGAAGTATTATATCTTGTCAAGGATTTAGTGACAAACGTAACTTTTATAAACACAATAGTAATATTTGTGATTAATATGATTAATATGGTTTAACAGTCTTCATATGCGCGCCACAGAGAGTCATATAGTTAACAAACATATCATAACCATATCACAGCTTAAGGCTTCTTCTGAACATTTGAAGGTTCCTACTATGTATTGGTTACCTAAACTACACAAAAAACCAGTATAATATCGTTTCATCTCGGCCTCTAGTAAGTGTTCTACAACTAATCTTTCAGTGTTTTTAACAAGTTCCTTAACTACTATCAAAGAGCTTATCATAAACTATAAAATATATGAAAATAGTGGAATTAACTATTTTTGGAGTGTAAAAAAATCTTTGGATGTTTTAGATAAATTACGTGCTTTTGATGGTCCTTTTGATTCTGTTGACAGTTTTGACTTTTCTACTCTTATCACTACACTTCCACACAATCTTATTAAACAAAAATTTGACTATTTAATTAAATGTTCGTTTGGTAAATCTGAATGCAAATATATTCGCTGCAACTCATTTAAAGCCTTCTTCTTTAATGAGAAAGGTAAATATGCTAGACATACTTACTGGAGGTGTGATGAGATGATTGAAGCTGTTAATTTTCTCCATGATAATATTTATGTACGTTTCGGCAGCAAAGTTTGTCGACAGGTTGTAGGTATTCCTATGGGCACTAATTGCGCCCCTTTAATAGCAGACTTGTTTTTGTACTGTTATGAATCATAGTTTATGACCAAACTCAGTAAAGACACGTCTAATTCGCATTTAATTGATAAATTCAACAACACTTACCGTTATCTTGATGACATTTTTTCGTTAAATAATCAAGAATTTTCTCAATATACTGCCGAAATTCACCCAAAGGAACTTACTTTAAATAAATCAAATTTAAACAATAACAACTGTCCTTTCCTAGATTTAGATATTTCGGTTTTACACGGGAAACTCCACACTAAAATGTACGACAAAAGGGACGATATTTTGTTCCCTATTGTTAATTTTCCCTTTTTGGATGGTGATGTTCCTTTGGCACCATCTTACGGTGTTTATATTTCACAACTCGTTCGCTCTGCCAGTGTCTGTTGTGACGTTTTTTATTTTAACGAACGTAATCTATGTATTACTGGTAAATTATTAAGCCAGGGATTTCGTTACCACAAATTACTTAAAACCTTTACTAAATTCTTCCACAGATATAAAGATTTGGTCTTGAAGTTTGGTTGTACCTGTAGAAAACTTATTTCAAACGGGATTGCACATCCTCATTTTTACGGCAATATTGTTTACCGTGCCGGGAAATTTAGAAATGATCCTGATAAACTTATCGATCCTTTAAATAAACTTATTCTAAAAGGTTACCAATTCAACACTGTAATTAGATCAATTAATATTGTTTTTATTGGTACTGATATTGATTTTGTTATCAGTAAATTAAAAGCAAACTAGATATTATTGTTATATACATATACACATTCATGGATCTACAATCTGTCGATACCTGTATCTTGGCATTGCACAAAGTCACGTTTTTCTCTGACTGTTCATGACGTCTTTACCCTAAATCCATTGGATGTTGGATGTGTATGGATTGATAATTTAGTCTTAGATGCATGATTTTTTTTATTAGTTGTTAGTGGCTTTGAACTAGCTGTCAGTAACTGCGAGTACTCTCAGATCTGTACTTAGTGTCTTTTTGTTGTTTGGATGTACAAGTACCCGGCCACGTCCACTTGTATTTGTAGTATTTGTATTTTTATCCATCTGATGAGTTAAGCCTCTTTCAACTGATTTTTATAGTTCGTTCTTATGTTGTACTGTTACACCACTATCCCAGGTTAGGGGGAGTGTTGGGATCCCGCTAACATGTTCAACCCCGCCACATTCTGTATATATGTGCCTGTCCCAAGTCAGGAGCCTGTAATTCAGTGGTTGTCGTTTGTTTATGTGTTACATATTTGTTTTTCGTTCATTTTTTGTACATAAATAAGGCCGTTAGTTTTCTCGTTTGAATTGTTTTACATTGTCATTTCGGGGCCTTTTTTAGCTGACTGTGTGGTATGGGCTTTGCTCATTGTTGAAGGCCGTACGGTGACCTATAGTTGTTAATTTCTGTGTCATTTGGTCTCTTGTGGGGAGTTGTCTCATTGGCAATCATACCACATCTTCTTTTTTATATTCAGTCATAAATGGACATTTATACATGTTTTATGAATAAGGCTAAATAAAATATATATGTGGTTCCAGTTACCCTTCCAGTAACCTGCCCTACATTTTAGTCTATTTGTCGAGCCTGCGACTTTTGTCGCAAAAGCGAGATAAAGCGATCCTACATTCCGTCGTCGTCGGCGTCGTCCACAAATATTCACTCTGTGGTTTAATTTTTTAATATTTAAATAACTTTCTTTAACTATGCTGGATTTGTACCAAACTTGGATAGAAGCTTGTTAATGATCAAAAGCTAGTATCTAGAAGGAAATTTTGTAAAATTTATTCATGTTTTTCTGTATGTTACTTATACTGTGGATTTATTATTATTCGTGGGATACCATTTTTTTTTTATTTCGTGGGTATCGGTGAACCACGAATTTCAATGTTCGACAAAGTACACATTTTCTATAGGCTTGTATGCAGACTTTGGCAAAACAACGAAATCAAATATCCACGAAAACACATTTTTTCCGCAATCCACGAAAATTGGTACCCACGAAAATAAACGAATCCGCAGTATTACTTTTAAATGTACTTAGTTTTTCTTCCAGTTAACATTACATATATGATCATGATAGACATGATAGAAGTTTAATGTCTTTTTTCGGCTCTTTCGGTTCTTGGTCTCTTTCTCTGCATTGGTTTCCTAGCTATTGACTTTGCCTTGTTAACAACTTAATACAGTTCATCAGAGGCAGTTGTGACATTGTCATGTTTTCGTTTCTTACTGTCCAGTACGAAATTATTATAGAGCTTCCTTTTTTCCTCGTCTGATTTAATTAGTTTTCCAGATATCATCAGCAAAGATCATTCATTGTTTGTAGGAATTGACAGGAATATAATCTCCTGAATGATGCAGTGCTGATCTAAGATAGATGAACTGAAAGTCCACCATGTCAAACAGTTTTTCGACCAAATCTGCGGTTATGTTTTGGCTTCCAGTTGACTGCCACTTTCATTACATGGTTCATAGATTCTGCGTTATTGTTTATCCACAATTTGTTTGTGCCCAAACGTCTATTTGCTGCATTTAAAAACTCGCGAACTCTTGGTTTAAAACTCGGTTCGTAGTATTTTAGAAACTGAGGGTAATGTGAACATAAATCCTTAAGTTGTGCATATGCACTTGCAAATTACAAAGTATCGTCTTGCACTGGCTATGCCGTCGTCCCCAAAGATTGCGTAAATAATGTGTTTTCTTTCTTGTGAGCTGACACCAACACGATCTTGTAAGTAATGCTGCACATTGTCTTTCAAATGTTTTGTACATAAACGTCGTTTTGCTGTTGGAAAAGCCGAACTCTATATTCTCATGGAGTCGAAGTTCGACATCATCTATCGCAAGTTTCAGTGTGGCAGAACTGTGGGAAAAGAAAGCTCTATAGGTTGTATATGATGCATCCTTGTGTAGCAGCATTGGTCCTGCGAAGATTGGATGGTCTTTATTTCTTTTCAGTGTACCCGCAGGTTCTTATAAACTACATAGACGTAACGTCAAAGCTACCCAGATTGAAGGTTCTGACTTTTGTGACAGGAAATATTTTAAATCTGAAATTTGGTCTTCTGTATAACAAACTATTGCCTGTACCTGGTTCTTGTTATGAATAATCAGTTGTACAAACGGATGTACAAGGACTTATAGTATGCCACTAAGATGCGGTGCTGTTACATGTAGATATTGATATTTGATGCATAAATTAAAAATTTTATAGAAAAATCATCACAAATAAAAGAGTTATTGAACATTGTTTGACACGTGCCGGTTTTTCTTTGATATTGCCGAAAATCATTGAATCGTTGTAACAGCACCGCATCAAGTCTTTAGTGGCATACTATAAGTTCTTGGTGCGCTAAGGGCTCCTTCGCCATGTTTAGACGCACCCCAGTACTTTAGGATAACAATTATTTAAAAAAAAAAACACGTCTCATGGTTTAGTTCGTCCTCTGCTCTTGATCTTTCATCCGTTGTTGTTTACGGATATAGGTTCGATGGGCCGGGGAAAAATACATTTCAGAAGTTATTTCGATATTTCATGAGGCTGTATTTGTCATTTATTCTGGACAATAACACCGCAATATCGAAATAACAGTCTTATCGTAATATACGTTTTTGAGGTTCGATGGGCCGGGGAAAAATACATTTCAGAAATTATTTCGATATTACACAATTTTGTATCTGTCATTCATTCTGGACAAAAACACCGTAATATCGAATTACTGAATCAGATATATATCTACAGCACTAGAAAACAGACTATGTAAATTTTGTTTCTTAAATAGTGTTGAATCTGAAAAAAATATTTCTTTTAAATTGCTCCTTATATATGATTAAATATGCAAGTTAATTTTATGATAAAATTACATAAAAATTAAAATATATATTTTATTTTTATATTTTTATACTTTCTTAAACCCCATTCATTTCAGAGTACTGTGATATGTAAATAATTTGTCAATCAATATGTGCCACTATAATTAAAAAAATATTTATTTATTATTCTGAATTGTGTTACATACAACGAATATATATATACTAGCCTTTCATATTTCAAATTTCAACGAAACCAAGGATTTGTATAGTAAAAATCCTTGACGAAACAGATTAAAATTACTATTTAAATATTTTTTCCTTAACTATTGTTAATTAAATTTCACGTTTCTATTTTGAAAGATGGATATCTTAATTATAACATAATTAAATAGTTACATATAACATATTTGTTTATTACATTTTGACATTGGAATGAATACTTTATTGCAAAAAGCATATATATGCTATAGCAACGAAAACATATTTACAACACGACAAATGATAAACAGCAGAGATCAATACATAAAAATCATTAAAAGAAAACAAATAACATTAAGTAACAATATGTGATTTGATTGACCACGCAGATTTTATGTAATTACACAATTTTTATGGCCCCGCAACAAAGTTGTCGGGGCCATATAGTTTTACCCTTGTCCGTCATTCCGTCATTCTGTCATTCCGTCATTCCGCAACAAACCATTATACGGACTTTTTTTCTAAACGCCTTCAGATATTGGGCTGATTTTTAAGTTAACCATGATGAGTTACAGATCAAGTTTAAATTTCGTTCCGCTCTGCTAATGTTTGTCGAAATTACGGGCTTTGGACTTTGATAAATTGTTGAAAATCACAGTTATACGGACTTATTTTTCTAAACGCTTTTAGATATTGGGCTGATTTTTGGTATGTGAGTTAACCATGATGAGTTACAGATCAAGTTTGAGTTTCGTTCCGCTCTGCTAATTTCTGTAGAAATTACGGGTTTTGGGCTTTGATAAATGGTCGAAAATCACAGTTATACAGACTTTTTTTCTATACGCCTTCAAATTTTGCGCTGATTTTTGATATGTGAATCTACAATGATAGGTTACAGATCAAGTTTATGTTTCGTTACGATATGCTGATCTTCATGTTGTTTCAACACATCTTCAGTACATCCACTTCCTGTTTGCTGATAGTTTGAAATTTAACTACTCATTGATCAAGGAAATTTTTCATCAAACTAGTATTGGTCTTGAGAGCTGGATACTATCCATGCATGTTTGTGTCCACATGTGTTGTTGAAATTGCAGATTTTTCAACTTTTTGAGACGGGGCCATTCGTGTCGTTCCGACACATCTTGTTTAATATGTAAAACAGACATTAACTTAAATAACTACTGTAATTTAGTAATGTTTGGCCAAGAACAGTAGAATTTTAGCAAATATTTAGGCATAATTGATCTATAGGCAGGGCATACTAACAAAAAGTGGTACTCGTTTTTTAAACGCACTGCATATTACAACATTTACATACACGTAATTCTCTAGCCATGTCAGTATATCTTCCTGTTTCAATGTTCAGCTTTAGTGCACCACTACGTAATTTAGTTAAAAAGTGTGAATTATAACAGCAATTTACATAATGTTCAAACCTAAATTCTAACTTTATATTCTTATAAATACTAAGTTTTTCGCTCATTTCTACAGATGATAACCAGCTTTTTATATACTGATCTTTAATTCTATTCTTAATTACATCAATAATATGATTGTTGATACCATATATAATTTAGACCACAATCAAATAATAAGTCACGTACATAAGAAGCCCAGTTTCTTTTGCCATTATTGGCATCTTCAAGTAACAATTTATAAACATCATAAACATCATAAACATCATAAACATCATAAACAAAAGGTGTTTTGTTAGTTAGAATATTCAACC